CCCCAAACCCCCAAAACCCCAAAACCCCAAAACCCCTATCTATAATTTCGCAATTGAGTTTGATGATTTATGGGACTTTAGATGCTAAAATGTTGTATTCCTGATTAAATCCCCTCTGTGATTTTGTGGCAGACTTCAATCATTTTAGCTCTAACATCTTCATTAGGAACCAGTTCTTTCCCTCTGTTATCAAGATTTTTAGTGAAATCATCTAATACAATCTTGAAGTAAGGATTTTTAGCGTAATACTTCTGAATTCCTACTTTTGACTGAACAGATCTCTCCCTCAACAAGCTTTGATACATCTCGAGCTCCTCTGGTTGGCTGTCAAAGAAGAAATTGAGTACTACCTCAACCTTCTCTTCTGGATAGCTGAGCACAATATGATAAAAGAACAACCTTTCCTTGTCTTCTTGAGAATTGATATTATGAAGGTTGCATAAGTTCCTAGTGTAGTTTCTGACCCAACTTCCGAAGAACTGGGAGAACACCATTGATTTCCTTTCTGTAATATTGCCATTCGTACTTAAAAAATTATTTGATTCTTTCTTGTTCCCTCTAAATTGTCATAAATTTTACATTCCTCAGAGAAAAATGACTAAATCCTTACCTGAAAAGGCATGTATTTAACAGATCAGCTCTTTTATTGATATTCTTGGCAAATACCTCTAAGCAGAGTTATTAATGACACTTAAAGTAGCGCTTACTTATCATAGGCTTTAATTTCTCTCTGAACATATTGAAAAGAGTTTCTTGATCGTTTGGATAGTCCTTCTTAGGTCTTCCATAAATTTTTCTAAAAGATTGGTCTTGAAGGGCATTTTCATCATCGTAGAATGCATCGTGGAGAAGTTTCCTTGCCTCATATTTGGTAATGTCTATTAGAATAAACCCTTTCTTGACCTTCACTGTCTTGTGAATGTTAGTATCTTGTTCAACGTTACTTCTATTTTTCTCATAGACCTCCTCTTGGTTACCCTTGGGTTTATTTTCTTTGAAGTCTTCTAAGTCCATACTTAGTTCTTGCCTTGAATCAGCCTCCTCAATAAGTTGCTCCTGCTCAGTTGGAATCTTAACCTTAAACAAGCATTGGTGAGCAGACTGATCAGTAACAGTTCCTGAGTCCTTTGAACTTGTAGAATTCAAAGGAGCACTGAGCAGACTTCGGCCATCTTGGAATGCTCGTTCATCCCAAAAATCTTGTTTATTTTCGCTCAAAAGCTTCAGGTCAACGTTCAAGCAATCATAATTTCATTGGAGATGAGTCTGGTTTTCTCCTATCAATTGGTCTTGGCTTATCAAATCCTTATTAATGTCCCAGAGGTATTCGGGGAGTATTTTAAAAAGATCTAAGTCTTCGCAAATTTCTTCAGTTTTAAATTTCATATCAATTAAAAGATATTTATTATATAATCTCAACAAGGATGCTTGCTAAAGGGGTTTTGGGGTTTTGGGGTTTTGGGGTTTTGGGGTTTTGGGG